CTCTTTTTTTTTTTTGAAATTCAATTTTTTTTTTTTTTTTGTTTTGACTCCTCCTCCATTTTTTTTCTTTTTCTTTTAAAACTTTTAATATTTTATTATTAATTCTATTTAAATGATGATGATGATGATATTTATAAAATACGTGTAAATTGCGGTTAAACAAACAAACAAACGGTTAAATACAAACACAGGCAATAATAATAATAAATTCATTTCAAACAATTTAATTAAAATTGTTTTTGATTTTTTTTCTTTTAATCAGGTTTTCCAATGAAATTTTTTTTTTATGATCATTTTGAAAATAGAAAAATCAGCGGGGGAGAGTGAGAGAGAGAGAGAGAGAGAGATGAGATGTAAAATAAAAAGATCTTAGGTGGATGCTGGGAATGATTACGGGTAGTTGTTTATTATTTAAAAAAAATTTTCCAAATCGAATTTCATATCAATCGACCGACATTTTTTAATATTATTATTATTATTTTAATTAATAATAACCGGAAACGGATCTTTAACGTGCACACACACACACTCTCTTTCTCTTATATTGTCGTACATTTAAAATAGAAATTATTATTATTATTATTATTATTTTTTTAATAGTCCAGAATGGATTAAAATGTTAACTACGATTAGTATTACTAGTATTAAGGTATCCATAAATTATTTATTATTACGTAATTTATTATATATTATTAATAATAATAAGTTATTTTCTTTTTTTTTTTTACATTTTATTTAAAATAATATTATTATTAATAATAATAATAATAATAATAATAATAATTCCGGGAAAATACTTTTGTCTAGACTTGTTCTCATTCATTAAACACGTCTTGATTGCCTTTTTACCCGATCTAATGTGTGTGTGCAAGAGAGAGAGAGAAAGAGAAAAGCAGACTATATTAATCATCATAAAATAAATTTATAATTATTAAATGCTGCATAATAATAATAATAATAATAATGATAATGATAATTCTTTGAGTGAAAAGTTATTGTCCGCAATGGCAACATATTATTATGTATTTCGTTCTGTTTATTATTATTATTTTTTTTTTTTTTCGATTATTGATTACGAATCGAATAAGACAATCTCTCTCTCTCTCTCTCTCTCTCTCTTTTACACACGGAGAGGTATTCAGTTTAACTCGTAAAAAGAAATATATATTTCGTCAAATGACAAATAAATTAAAACGTTAAAAAAAAGAAATAAAAAATTCTTTGTTTTTTTTTTTTTTTTTGGTTCTTGTTATCTTAAGGATCAAAAAAAGAGAGAAAGAGAGAGACAGAGATAGAGAGGGGGAAAAAGGTTGGGTTCTTTGGAATTTCCAAAAAAAAAAAAAAACCTTAAAAAAAATGTTTTTATTATTATTTTTGTGTTTTAATGGAATCGAACATTCACATTCGTCAAATCGTTTCGAATTCTTTTCCCTTTTTTTTTCAGGAGGTTTTTATCAATTGTTATCAATCAAGAAAAGCGCCCAGGACAATAACAAAAACAAAAAAAAATTAATCAAATCAACAAATAACAACATGCAATATCGAATTGTTTTGTTTACCTTTTATCACAACGACAATGCATAATTGTATTTATTCTCCAGTTAAAAAGACCATATTTTTCTTCCATGCTACCTATCCAGTGTGGACACATGGTATCATGTACCCGACAACATTTATCAGTTTTACTAAATCCTCCTAAACTTGTATATTTTGTTGCTCTCCTACCTTTTCCACACCATTTTGTACCAGGAACTCGTAGTACGTCCATAATATCTCTTTTTTGCCTACCGAATGAAAAATTTTTTGGTCTTTTTTTTTTTACCTCTTAAACTTTATAATTATCATAATTAATTAACATAATATTTGCTTTAATGAGCCTGTTTTTAAATTTTTAATTAAAAGGAAAAGAAAAAGAGAAAACTCCCAAAAAATGCGGACACACATACACCCGGGTTACGATATAATTTTATTTAAAAAGCCCCCCCCCCCTCCACAAATAATGAGCCCAATACAGAAAAAAAAAGACTTTACAGACCTCCTCCTCACCTTGAATCACATCTGCAGTGACTTATTGTAAATGGTCTGATGTTGAAGTAATGAAACTTTGAGTCGAAGGATTTTATTAGAGGATGACAATTATCATGGGCTCGACAGCATTTATCAACTTTGTAGAAATTTCCCAAATGTGTGTATTTTTCAGCCGTACTACTCTTTCCGCACCATTTTGTTCCAGGAAATATGAAAAATTTATTAAAACCTCTTTTCACCCTGCCATTTTATATTATTAAATCTAGTTTTAAAAACAAACTCGTTTAAGCAAACATGTTTTCTTAACCTATTTCATCTCTCTCTCTCTCTCTCTCTCTCTCTTTCTCTCTCTCTCTTATTTAGGTTTAATTTACTTTACCTTTCCATGTGTTTTCCGGGTAAATCTTTATCATTCAAATCATTTCCATATGAATTTTTATACATTAAATTTTTTTTAAACATTTTATGATTTCTATTGCATTTTTTCCTTAAATTCGTATAATTCATCCATTTTGAAAATTCTCCTGGTAATTTTCCACCATTTTTAATTATTTGAAACGATATATTTCTATATTCTTTTTCATAATCCGTATCGAAATCATCCTCTTGAAAATTAAACAATTCGAAATTACGATCCTCATCATAATCGCCATCATCATCATCATCATCATCATCATCATCATTTTCAATGTATTCTTCTTCTTCTTCGTAATAATCATCATCATCATCGTAATCGTAATTCTTTAATTTTTCATTTGTTAAAAAGTTATTATTTGATTTATCGTAAAATTCATATTTTTTATTAATTTTTTGCCTTTTTTCTATAATGAAACCATTTTTTAAATCCTCGTAAAAATTAAATAAAAATTTTTCAACGGATTTTTTTTCTTTAACATAATCGCAATCTTGAATTTGATTGTCGGAATTGTATATCAATTGTATAAAATTAATACCATCCGTTAACTGTCGAAGTTTTAAACCCAACCTGTAAAAATTTCAAAAAAAAGAAATTGCAATAAATTAAAAAATTTAATGACTTCCTACATTTTTTTTTTTTTGTTTTTTTGTTGATTTTTCCTCAACACACACAAACACATAATAAAAGATTCTTAAAATAGTAAAGATGGTTGGCGGAAAGCCACGAGACAAACGACGTCAAATAATTAACTCAGAACATATAAGGTTAAGACATACACAGGGTCAGTCACGTATTTGTGTGCGTGTGTGTGTGTGTGTAAAATAGTCACAAATCAATTTTCTTCTTTCGAATTCAGGTACAAATAGCGCCCATTGATAGGAGACACAAGTGCTATGCAAATGATGATGTTAAATTAACCACTTTATGTCAAGTGATATTCGAGAGCCCCTTTTTTCATTATTTATTACGTCACCAAAGTATGTGTGATTGACATGTAAAAAAAAAAAAATTCGAATTTTTTTTTTTTTGTTTTTAATTTTCACCCCCCGCGTTTCTTACGTTTGTTGTTTGTTTATGAAAATTTTTTAAATTTGAGTTTTTCCGGGTGGTGGGAGGGGTGGGGGAAATTACACAACATTAACGCTTTTGAAAAAATATTTATTTAAAATTGGCCAAAACCCAATTGAATGAAGGTGTGAATTTCCACAGTTAAATTGTTACAAATGATTTCATCTCTCTTTCTCTTTTTCTCTCTCTTTCTCTCTCTATTTCTCTCTCTCTTTCTCTCTCATTTAATCCGATGTCAGATGACGACGATTACGATTATTAATTAATTAATTAATTAATTTTTTTTTTTTGTTTTTTTTATTAAACGATCTCAGTCAAATGAGTTTTGCAATATCGATTAATTTTTTAATTAAAAATCTTGCATAATAATAATAATAATGATTTGTTTAAACTAAAGAAGAAAAAGAAAGAGAGAGAGAGAGAGAGAATGATAATAAAATGAATGTTTTTTTTTTAATATAAAAATGGATGTAATTTCGTCCTAAAATAACAAAAAAAAAAAAACTTTAAATCAGATTATTTGCGGTTTTTTAAAACCCTTAAAATTTACCCCTTCTCTCCCGCTCTCTCTCTCCCCTCCCTCCTTTCACCCTCTTCCCCCATTTGCAGTTTTATCGAAAATGCACATTTTCACATGAAGCTGGGGATTTACATAATCAGAATTTTCTTTTTTTTTTTTTCTTACACGTTTAATGTTGTCACATTTTAGTTTTTTTTTTTTTTTTTTTTACATAAAATTTTATTATTATCGAGTTGTTAATAATAAAACTATTTTTATTTATTTATTTTTTTTTTGTAAAAATCAATAAATAAAACACATAAATAATTTTAAAAAATGATAACGTTTTTGCATTCGACAGAGTTTGATCCCCGAATAATAATAATAATTTTTCTTAAATTAATTTGACCCGAGAATAAGATGAAAATTTTTTTTTTTTTATGTTGTTAAAATAATAATAATAATAATAATAGGACAGAGTTTCGAAATAATAATAAAAATTATTTTTATTAATTAAACGACTAATAATAATAATAATTTTTATTTACAGGGAGATTCACGTAATGATTCGACGACAATCGACAGGTAAGAAAAAAATTTTTATTTTTTTTTTTTTATCACATCATAAATTTAAAATAATAATAATAATAATAATAATAAATTTAAATTATAAATTTTTTTAAAGTTTTCGTCGTAAAAAAAGGTAGAGGACAGGGGGTAGGGAGGGGGGGTTTCATAAAAAAACATTAAAATCCCCCCCAAAAAAAATATTTTTAAATAATTTCAATTTAAGAATCCAAATAATAATAATTCAAAGGGAGAAGAAAAAAGTTTACATGCTGTTTAAATACCTTTAACGAAAAAAAAAAAAAAAAACAGTAAAATGAGACGAGATAACCTTTTACCCGAATAATGATAATAATAATAATAATGATAACATTTTTTTAACAACCGACAAAAATTTGTTTTAAGGTTTTTTTTTTTTAAATAAACCCGCAAAATATTTATTAAAAGTCTTTGAAGTACACACGTTAAAACACAAATTTTTTTTTTTTTTTTTTTATTTGTTTAAGAATCTTTGTTAAGTTTGTAATAATAATAATAATAATAATAATAATATCGCCGCCCCCATATTTGAAATTCCGAGGATGAATGCATTTTCCAATGGTTTTCTTTTGTTAAATACCTTGTTGTAACCCATTCTGCCAACCACTACCCAAATTTTTTATTTTTTTTTAAACAAATATTTTATTTATAATATGAAATATAATATTTATTTATAATATGAGAGCGTTTAATAGACAGAAGATATCTTAATATATAAAAACTTTAGGCTTTAAAATCGTAAAAAAAAAAAAAAAAAAAACAACAAACCAGGTAACTATGATGATGATAACATAATTTTTTTTTTTATGAAGACACTTATAGTCGTCAGACATTTTATTTTATAGTTTTTTTTTTTTTTTCTTAAAAAAAATTTATTTATATGCGGCTAAATAAAAAAAAAAAAAAGATTTATTTAAAAAAATCTTTCTTCTAAGTATTAGAGGATTCGATTTAAAACTGACCAGACGATAAATATAAAAAAACAAAACCTCCTTCTACTTATTGAACCTAATAAATAAAATGTGCACGCGTATAAGGGTTAAAAAAAAACTAAAGAATTAATAATAATAATAATATATACTCATATAAAATTTGAATTATTTTTTTTTTTAAAGATTTAACGACATAATCGAACTAAACTATATTGATCGATATATTGTAGTATTGATTTAGAAAAAGAAATGAAAAACCTGTTTTTTTTTTTTTTTTTTAATAAAAAGGGGAGAGAAAATAGTTAAAGATTAATAAATTTGTAAGATGATATTGTTGTTTTTTCCATTTTTATTTATTTATTTTTAAAAACAAAAGGGTACCGTCCATTAGGTAGTGGTGGTGGATCCCCCCTCTCTTTTTTATTACACATGAGAAAATCCCCATCAATACAAAAAAAAATAATTTTCCACCACCATGGGAATCGGCATCTTTTTTATATTCGTAATTATGTGACGTCACAACCAATAAACGATAATTATATAAATTGTAAGAGGTTTTTTTTTTTTACTTTTAAACAATAATAATAATAATTAAATAAACTCGATATTTAATATTCATCGACGATAGGGGTGGGTGGGGGGTAAAAAAAAAAGGGTCATTCGTTTCATAAAAAAAAACAAAATCGTCTGCTGTTTGTGATTTTTAAATTATCCGTTATTGAAAGATTTCAAATAATAAAAAAAAAAAAATTATCGATCGATCAATTTATTTTAATAATAATAATAATAATAATAATAATAATAATAATAATAGTAAATCGAACCTTAAATTTAAAAACGAACCAGAAAAAAAAACCAATAACGAGTAAGAAAAAAAAAAAAAACAATTTTCATTTATCGATTTGAAAAGAAAAAAAAATTTTTTTTTTGACGTCAGCAAAAATTTTGCTGAAGCAAAAATTAAAAAATAATAATAATAATAATTTTTTTTTTTTTATTGGCAATAAAAAAAATTTTTTTTTTTTTTTTTAAATTTTAAACTAAAAAGTTTTAACAATAATAATAATGATGGTGGTGATGATGATGAAAACAATAGGAAAATTTTTTTACACACACGCGGGAATAACAAAACACTTGATAATAATAATAATAATAATAATAATAATAATAATAATAAAAGTACTAAAGAATTTTTTTTTTTCTAAATTTGAAACGTAAAATTATAAATCAGATAAAATATTAATAAA